TTATTCCAATGTATGAGCATAAGACTATAGTTAGGAGGAATAATACAAAAACCACTACATTCATTCTGCAAAGATTTTGAATCATTCTGTCTGATTTGTTTCTTACTTTTTTCCCACTCTGCTCGTTATACTTTGGCAGATGCAGGAAAATGTTGAATCTGATGAAAGGTCATCGCTGTCTGACTGAACTTTGAGTTGTGGGTGGATTTAAGGTCCAGTGTGTAGGATTAAGGGGCATCTACTGGCACAAATGGTACATAATATTCATAACTATGTTTTCATTAGTTCATAATCTCCTGAAAATAGGGCTCTTTATGCTTCGTTACCCTAGAATGGGTAGGCAGCCTGTGGCCCTGGAGCCACATGCGGCTCTTTAGCCCCTCTCCAGTGGCTCTATGTGGCTTTTACAAACAATTATATGGAATTAGAAAAGTTGATTTTTAACATTTTAATTTTAATTTTTCATTACTGTAGGCCTAAAGTGCTTCTTACAATTTCCAGTTGTAAAAATGTTTAAACTATACACTCAAAAAAAAGAAAAAAGAAGGTTCCACATTTCGTCAGCTAAAGTGAAGCCTCCCTCGCTAGGATAGCTATTGATTCCAAATCCCAAAAAGAAAGCCAAAAATGGCTCGTTTGATAGCAAAGGTTGCTGACCCCTGCCCTAGATTGAGTCTTTGAGATCTACATACAGAGCGGGTCCTCTTCCACGGAGTCGACCATGTTGCTCTACAGTAGCCCATATCAGACAAATCAAACACTAGCTCTAGACTGGGCCATTTGCCTTTTCGCTTTGGCCACCGCAGGAGAAGTTTCAGTTCTGGAACCGAACCACAGCTACCACGAGGTTTAGGGGGGACAGTGTAAGAAATGGAATATAATAAGTGTGTTTTCTTTAGTGTGTAATCACCTGAAAATAAGACTTAAGTTAAGTTTTTGTTACCTTAGAATGAGCTGTTACATCTACATAGTGAGTGGGCCTTGTGCAGGGAAATGGCCATGTTCACCACCATGTTTCTACAGTAGCCCACAACAGACAAACCAAACACTGGCTCTAGACAGGGCCATTCACATTTTTGTGTTTTTGCATCAGCCGCTCTAGTTAGCAGTTTTGTTTTTTGCGTGAAATGGCTTTATTCTGGGCTTCTATGAATTTAAATCACCTGCTCCATTTGTTTTGGAGAGGAAGAGGTGAGAAAAAGGTGAGCACTGATTTCTAACATGAAACTGCTTCATTCAGTGTTTTCACTGGATTTAATCACCTGGTCTGTTTGTTCTGGAGAGGTATGGACCGTGTAAACCTCCCTAAAAACATCCTGAACTCTGACACTGAACAACAATGAACTCTGAAGGAATTATAACTGGGAGCAGTTTCAGCTCTTTGCAATGTGCTATCCTCACCAGTAGTTCCCTCTAAATCGTACACACTGCTCCTTTAATACATGTGAAAAGTGGATATTTGAATGACATGAGTAAATGCAGGAGGAGCTGTGTGCACGGAGTATCGGTAAAATCCAATAATCTATGCTGTCAAGAGCTCAGCAGTCTCAAGGTCAAGAATTTTTTGATAATGTTAAGCTCAGGGTGTGTCGGCCGTTTCAAGTCACTCACTCAAAGGAGTGTCAGTCAAGTCCCTCTTGAACCCTTTACTGTACATAACAGACAGCCAGGTATTTGCTCCTTTGAATGTATTTCAGTACGCGCTGGGATTTCAAAGAGATTTCACAATGACCGAACATGTTCAAAGAAAATGTCCCGTCTTCTTTCTCTCTGAGCCAAATTCAAAGGTTCCAGCTATTGGGATTTTAGATGACTCCAGTATAGTAATACTGAGAAAAAAGTAACTTGTAAAAGTATGAACAGCTGTGTTAGCTTCCAAAAATAGGAGATAGTTCCAGAAATTGTTTTTGTCGTGCAGTTCTGAAAGTATTGAATTGTGAATATGTGCACGAGCCAGTAGGCAAGAAATACTAAGTTGATCTCAGGACCTACTGAAGTGCTACAGGGTTAATACTGTGTGTCTGAGTGTTTGTACGTGTGCGTGCACTCATGTGAGCGAGCAAAATACGGTTGTGTTGGTAAGTATAATTAGATCAGTAAGGTGTGAAAGAGGGGAATAATGTCTTGGTGTTCAGGAGGTGATCGGAATACAAATCAAGCTCCATTCCTCTCTCTCTGACACACAGACACTGTTTATTAATGGACACTGTGATAAAGAGTAATAACATTTTCAATAAATTACACAGTTCGGAGTGGTTGTGTTTTTCTGCTGCAGTATGGATTGGATTCAGACTGTAGGTCTCAGTGTCAAAGGTCCACTGCAGCACTGGTTGTGAATGTGATTTAACCTCAGAAAATCAATCCTGCCTGCCTGTCTGGGTCTGATGGACCGTCCAGGTGTAGGCCGAGGCCACCCACTCTCAACATCACTCACTTTTTTTTTGTCTTTAACACTGGTGACAGTTTTGCTTTCCTGGTGATATATATGTCTGTGGGGAACAATGATACATGAAGCACAATGGAGAATGAATGACTGCAATTAACAGTCAATGAGCTATTTCAGTGTGCGGGCTATGTGTCAGTATTTATAACTAATCTTCTGAAAGTTAACTCAGACAGAACTGTAATTATTCATGTTAAATAAGAGTCTCCTTACATAGATATTGCAGTAAACGCCTCCATATTGAAAAGGCGTTATGGGAATGTTATCATACTATTAAAGGGACGGTTCAGGTTTTTTGAAGTGGGGTTATATGAGGTACTTATTCACAGGTCAATGTATTACATAGAGCAGATGGTGGTCGACACCCCCCAGTTTGGAGAGGCGTGCAGGAGTACCGCCAAGAAAGCTAAGAAATGAGCTGCTGCAGATGGGGTCATAATAAAACGTACTCTAGCAACCTTCCAAATATAATCAATATCAGTGTATGCTATGTGTCCGTCAGACAGTGATTTCTGATGGGGAGCTGAAACCGTTATATTGCTTTCTTCACAGCCAGACTCCATTGAGAGAAACAGTGACTTAACACTGCTGGACACAGGAACTGCTGGTCTACCGCTGCCTTGATCAGTTACGTTTTTGTGCCATTGTGTGACTGGTGTTTAAAGTGGTTAGTTTGGCTTCACCAATAACACATACTAACTAAAAGATTGAGGCAGCAGTAGACCAGCAGCTCCTGTGTTCTCTGCAAGCCAAAATTACTTTTTTTGTCAATGGAGTCTGGTGACTTTGAAGAGAGAGCCGATATCAGCTTCCCCACTGGAACAAGCTGTCTAACGAAAAGGTGAAATACTCTCATTATAGCGAACCCTTAACTCTTTGAAACCTGGAGCTACATCACTTTTCTTGTGCTGCTTTCAGACACCTTTTTCAAGTATTTAAACCTTTGAACCCTGAGCAAATCGGTAAGAAATATTCCACAAACTGCAAAAAAATAGAAGATTTAGAAAATTATAAATAAAAAAAAAAAAACTAGGGAAAAAGGAAAAAAATGTAAGGGAAAATTATATTTATAATAACTATTATTACATATTTAAAATTATGGTACAGAATTATTATAATTTTAGAGCATTCCTTCCAGGTCATTTCCTTTTTGTTTGTTTTTAACTTTCTTTTTTCACAAATTTCCTTGATTTTAATTTTCTCGTTTTACTAATTTCTTGCAATTTATTTTCCTATAATTATACTTTTTATTGTTTCCTTCATATCCATAAAACAAGGTACAAAACATTACAGTTATATACAGTTAAAAGGTATAAACCATATATTGATCACCTTAGAAATAAATATTAATATATATATATATATAGAGATATATAAATTGAAATAATAATAATAACAATAATAAATAAAATAAAAAGTAGTAGAAATACTCAACTGAAAGATTATTATAACTACTAAATGAAATAAATACCTATATGAATGAGATAAAAAAGTATTTAAAAATAATATAAATAATAATGATATTAATTAAGTAAAAAATAAAATAAATAAGTAAATAAGATAAAATAATGACAATAAATGAAATAATAAATAAAAGTAATATACATGTGTATATATGCAAACAAAAAACATCAACAACAAAAAAAGCTTATACACATACTACTACTTATTAATAATAATAATAGCAATTAATACATACAAATACATATACACATATACATGAAATAAATAAAGAATAATAATTAAAAATAAATTAAACAAATGAACTAATGGGAAAATTAATACTCTCGTAATACCTGTAATAGTACCTTATCAGGAAGGAAACCTTTTATTTTCTTTTCTCCCATCCCAAACACCCCAAAGTGCACTAAGAGGTCATTTAAGGACTAATAATTCTCGCAATTTTTTTTTGATAATTTCTTCATTCATTGCTCGTTGTCTTCCTCCCAAAGAAGTTTTTGAAAGAAATCAAGCCAGTCTGCTCAGATTACAAAGGGTTAACCAGTTATAGATTGTTTTAGGTGAGACTTTTTTTAGGTCAATAAAATACATTTTGCTCCTGACCCATCCACAGCTGACATTGATTGCTCCCATTTGAGCACCCCTGCTGTAATACACTAAGTATAGATGGGAACCTCATACAACCCCACTTTAAAAAATCTGAACTATCCCTCTAAAGTAGGCCTCAGTGAGGTCACTGAAGCCTCTGGCACTGCAAACACTCCCAACAGCTGTCATATAAAAACACATTTTTCTGTAGTGATGTGCCTTTACAGTCCCAGTAATGTGTTAGTGACTGCTTGTGTATCCAGACTGCCATTTGCAGACATAAGGAAATAATGCATGAAAGTTTTACTGGGCTGTTTAAATAACTAGAGAACTGACAGCTTTCACGGAGACAATGTCAGGTTGTTGTGCTGTTTGAATTCCATATAGACAAATATTAATCTGGCTGCTTAGAGGCTGTCTAAGAACACAAACCCTCACCATGACGCATGAAAAGCATGACTGGTCCTGTGCTGCTCTGACTGTGTGTCCACTGCGCCATCTACCGACTGATGACGAGCAGCGCAACAACACTGAGAAGAAACATGGCGACTTCCATGAGCGTCCACCTCTCTGATACTCGGTCGTTTTTCTGCACGTAAACTTATTGACGGAGGAACAAGGAACACACATCAGTCAGAAACAAGGTACGTTACAGTTAGCTCTGTGAATTATATGATACAGGCGCAGTTAACAAGCTGAACAGCTGCTGACGTCCCCAGACAACAATATGACCCTAAAACTGAAACAGTCTTTCCTGCTTTCAGGTTTTATTAAATCCTCTCACATGATTCCAACCACTCTCTCCAGAGCTGTACCCACTCTTAGCTGCATGCGCTCAAACTTTTAAGAGGTATTAGTGTAAGTGTTTTGGTGTATGTGTACTATATGTATTGTGGTATGCGTGTATTGGTTTGTCTATTGTAGTAGATGTATTGTGGCGTACACTGATCAGCCACAACATTCAAAGCACTGACAGGTGAAGTGAATAACTTTGATTATTTTGTTCCAATGCATTGTTCTGCTGGGAAACCTTTGGTTCTGGCATTCATGTGGATACCACCTGACATGTTGCACCCACTCAAACACTGTTGCAGCCCAAGTACCCCCCGTCATGGCAACAGTACTCCTCAATGGCAGTGGCCCCCCAGCAGGATAATGCACCATGCCACACTGCAAACATGGCTCAGGAATGGCCCAAGGAATGTGACAAAGACCTCAAAGTGTCAACCTGGCCTCCAAATTCCCCAGATCCCAATCTGAATGAGCATCTGTGGCACGTGCCATTAACCCACAACGCACTGGTGCCAGACACCGCAGGACACATGGGTGCAGATCCCGGGGGGGATGGGGGGGGACATGTCCCCCCCAAATTCTGAAAAACACAAATTGTCCCCCCCAATTCTAAATAGCTTAAATGATTGAAATTGAACAAATGTATACAGTAGTCCTATATACTGGGAGAAAGGGAAGATGATGAGGAGAAATGGGAATCCGTGAGAGGCGAGAGATGAGAACGTGAGTGGACATAACATGCCTGAGACCCTGAAACTAGAAGTAGCATTAACTAACAGCGAAGCAGTGAAAAGGAGGGTGATGGCTGGTTCCATGTACTACTGGCTGTTCAAGAGAAATAAACAGTAAAGGTAAGCATATGATTCTCTTTGTAGGGCTTTTAGAATGACTTGGTGATGGTGATGAGCCTCTATGAAATTGTGAAATATGCTGGCAATCTCAAGGGCTCTGTGGGCATGATTTGCACGCGTGCAATTAAAAAACATCACAACTGATTGTGTCCCCCCCAAACTTGTCATCAGATCTGCACCCATGGCAGGACACTCCCAGAGATCCTGTGTCCATGCCTCCACAGGTCAGAGCCAAGTCTGATCCAAGGAGGCCCCACCTTGGATTAGGGTACATCTGGCGTACCGGCACATCACAAGAATCCTTGAGCAGATTGGGACCTGGGAAATTTAGAAGCCAGGTCGACACCTTGAGCTTTGTGTCACGCTCCACAGGACATTTCTAAACAGTTTGTGTAGTGTGGCATGCTGCTTTTTTTCTGGTGGGGGCCACTGCAATTGGAGAGTACTGTTGCCATGAAGGGGGGGGGGGTTACTTGGTCTGCAGATGGAAACATGAAATACAATACTTTTCAGTGTATGTGATAATAATTCATTGTACAAAATAAGAAAAAGCATGTTGGCTGATTCCAGTATTTCATTTTAAAGCCAGTATCGGCCGTAGATACAAACTACATGTGGGACCCACTCCATTGCTCTAGTTGTAAATACAGTCGTGTGCAGTGCTGTGTTGATGTGCGATGCTGCCGTCTCTCCTGCAGTGTGGTGTCAGTCATGTCCAGGCTGGCAGTGGTGTGTGGGGGCTCCAGGGGCATTGGGAAGGCTGTGTCCCGCCTGCTGGCAGAGAGAGGCTGCAGGTTGGCTGTTGTCTCCAGGAGCGAAGAAGCTGCCCGTGCCACTGTTGCATCTCTGCGTGGAGGTACAGAGCTGTACACACAAACATGTATCAGTAGGCAACATGTAAACCTCAGGCAATGAACTGATAGTGATTAGAAAGCCCTGACATTTACTGAGATGGAAAGCCAGACGGAATTAAATAAAATAAATATGAAGCTGACAGTGTTCCCCCACTTCCCTGTCAGTCTCACACACAGTACCTGATTCAGTGCTTTTGTGCTATAGAATAGGAGAAATGTAGACCTACAATACCTGCAGCTGTTATAACCAGATAGTCTTGTAACTAATATACTCACAGACCTTCTGTATCTGCACTCTAGATGACCATGTGGCTTTCAGCTGTGATGTCTCTAAAGAGCAGGAGGTGCAGAAAACCTTTGAGACGATCCACAAGACCTGCGGGAACATCTCTTATCTCGTGAATGCAGCTGGCATCAATAGGTGAGCAGACACTTGAGCCGGCTCCTCTGCTGATGCATTTGCAAATGTATGTATGGACATATATATGCATAGAAAAATGGATATGATGTTGTCACAAAACACTGAACTTCATGGCTCTCCTATTACTGTGTGTGTTTGTACAGGGATGCCCTGTTACTGAGGACCAAGTCGGAGGACATGGTTGTTCTGCTTCACACCAACCTGCTGGGCACCATGCTGACCTGCAGGGCAGCGCTGCGCAGCATGCTGCAAACCCAGGGAGCTGCCATTGTTAATATAGGTACTGAGGCCCAATTGCAGTGTTCACACTCTCAGATTTTGAGGCGCGTTCCCACAAAGTCAGTGAGGGCTTAGGGCAGTCCCACTGTCAAATTGTCAAGTGCACGAGAGCTCTGTTGCAGATATTTTGAGCCCTATATGCACACTTTCTGCAGATGGTACCTGAGGGAATAACCCACAGTTCATATCGGGAGCCTTTTACTGAAGGTAAACAGGACAGCATATTAAGTTTAAATTAGCCTAATAGGTCTAAATAACCACACATTAATATGTTTTACCACAAGACAGCTACTCTGCAGAGTAATATGTACGATTATTTGGTACTTTAATTTTGCAGCATTGGTGGTGAAAGCAAACAAACTGTCCATGCACTGTTAAATGCTCTATTTTCTTTAAATTGATTTGTAATCCATAGCTAGCCTAGCCAAGCCTATAATCAAGACTAGCCACCGCTATTGAGGTTTGGCAAAATCTAGAGGAAAAGGTGCCAGGCCGTATATGTAATAATGCTCTTTTAGATGACTAATTGTTAAAACATTTTTATTCAGTGTATAGGCTCTTTTCACCATGAAGAGGGTAAAAACATAAAACAAAATATCCCAAACCTGTAGGTGTACCATACGTAGCATGTTTTGGCATCATTAAGCCCTGATATGTTGCTACAAAGTGCTGTCCCATTTCTGTTTGTAACATTTTGAGCCTAAATTTCCACACTTCAGGGTGGAGATGGGATTTTCCCTGAATCCAGTGGCCCTCATGGTTGACATCATGTTTTCAGTGTGGTCACTAGGTGGCACTATGCATCATTGGTACTTTCTTTGGATTCACCAAAGTTTTGCAGCCTTACTTTAAAGATTTGTAGTGGTACATTTTACATTTACATCCATGTTTTTGCTCATTTACTACATTGATTTTATTAGTATAATGAGATAAATTGAAACCAGTTGCTGACTTGAACCGAGGTAAGCCTACAGAACGCATTAGATTGGTACATGTGTAAATATTAGTGATTTGTATCTATCATCCTGTAAAAGCATCATGGCATCACAAACTGTAGTGGCTTCCTACAAGTTTTTCTTTTGAACATGTCTGTCATACTAAGTGATCTTAATGGATGCCTGTTTGTTGTTTGCAGGCTCTGTTGTTGGCCTGAAAGGGAACGCTGGCCAGTGTGTTTACAGTGCCAGTAAAGCCGGTCTAGAGGGCTTCACACGCTCTTTGGCTAAAGAAGTCGCATCACGCAATGTCAGAGTTAACCTGCTGGCTCCCGGTACAGTACACCTTCATCTTCTTGCATCACCTTTTTCTGTCTCTGTCCTCTTATTTGTCCTGTTTTTAAACCTCTCTCATGTCCCTGCCCACTCTTGTAGGTTTCATCCACACCGACATGACCGCAGGGCTGAAGGAGGAGGTTGGGGTACGCTCCATCCCGCTGGGGAGATTCGGCGAGCCAGAGGAGGTAGCCCATGCTGTCCTCTTCCTTTTGGAGTCTCCCTACGTTACAGGACAGGTGCTGGTGGTGGATGGAGGACTGCAGCTGGCCATGTAAGGGAAGGGGCCTTCCTCTGGAATCATCTCTCCTCTGAAAACAATGGCAGCGAGGCAGGTAAAAGCCTCACTCTGCTTTTTCTTAAAAAACTATCAGACTATAGAGGAAATGGTTCAAAAATAAGATGAAGGGGCAGTGGGCTCTGTGTTACCCATGACTGAGGAGCATCAGACTGTTCAAAAGTGGACATTTACACGTAACAATGCTTCATAGCTGGAGTTGGATATTGCCCTGTGGCCACATGTCGAGTCACATCTGGTAAGCTGTAGGAGTGTGAGATTGGACATAGTGTTTGCCAGCGCTGTATTACTTGAGATTGGTTTTGAAGGTCTTGGTTTTGTCTCAGACTCGACCACATTTTCATCAGTCTTGTCTCGGCCTCAGATATAGAGGACTCGGGATTTTATTACAAGACCTGTCAAGACCACAGCTGCAGGGATATCACTAAAATTGCCATTTGTGCAACAAAGGAGTGTTGAATAAAGATTAAGTTGGTTTCAGCTCTTTAGTATTTGTTTGAATTTGTTTACTCATAGAAAAAAAAAGAAAAATTCCCACACATAAAATTCAAGATATTTCTCTAGAGTTGTTCCAAAGCTAATACCAGTATCGGAAACACCCCGACACTGCCTTAAATGCTGGATCAGGTATCAGTGAGTATGCAAGTCTATGCACTAACCTAATACCACGTAATTCCTCAGAAAACTTAAAAGTAGTTTCATAGCCTGATAAAACGACAGTTTTCCTGGAAGGCAATTCTTGGCTGCTCTAAAACAGTCGCCTGCATAACACGTTACGCTGTGCAGCCACTGGCAATTTCTATTTTAGAGTTGATTTCTGGTGAGTAGTTTAACGTTAGCTGTTAAGGAAACGTCAACAATTTGGCAACATTTTACACTGGAAAGCCCCACTGGTAAAAAGGCCAACTGCACAGTTTGCAAGGCTTTAGTTTCAAGGGGTGGCACCAGTGTTGCCAGTTTCAACACCAGCAATCTTATAAAGCCTTTCTATACACCAGTCATAGCAATCATCTCAGCTCCCTGGGAGCAGTACTCGGCATCAGCTGGTGTACAAGAGCAGGTATTGGAATCATTATTGGGAAGGAAAAATGGTATCAGAACATCTCTACATTTTTGATGGTACAATTATACTGTACATACTCACATATGGACCTGCACTTGTATGGTGCTCTTCTACTCTCCTAACCACACAAAGTGCTTTTACACTACATGACACATTGACTCATTCACACACTGGTGGCCAAGGCTGCCATACATGGTGCCACCTGCTACTCAGTTCACACGCTCTCACACAATTTAAGGTTCAGCATCTTGCCCAAGGATACTTCGACATACGGACTGGAGGAGCTGGGGATTGAACCACTAACTTTCCATTTGTGGACGACCTGACCCGCTCTACCTCTCAGCCACAGTCGCCACATACGGTGTAGCAGTACAAGAGGTGGAGGAAGTTGAATCTCCATTTGTTTTCCGTGGGTGTTTTTCATGTCCAACTGGTAGGAGGCCCTGGGGCAGACCCAGAACACACTGGAGGGATTATATTAGCTCATGTGGTTTGGGAACACCTCAGGGTCCCCCAGGAGGAGCTGGAAAATGTTGCTGGGGAGAGGAACGTTTGGAGTACATTGCTCAGCCTGCTGCCCCAATGACCCAGCCCTGGGTAAATGGATGAAAATGGATGGATGGATGTTTTTATGGGAATGTGGATCTTTCAAATCACTTTGAGGAGTGCCTATGATTTGCATCTTTCACATTATAAGTGTGTCATGCGGTGTGGTACTTGCACTGCTCCGGTCTTGGTCATGACTTAGTCTCGGTTTAGGCGGCTGTGACTATGACATAGGTGTTTACCATCAAAATTCTTGCCGCAGACCACAAAAAGTGAACAAAATTTTTGCCCAAGTTGTAAAAAGGCAGTTAGTTGTTGACATAGGAGACACAAAACCACATCTCTCAGAGAACCACTGTCCTGCTGCTCTCTGTCTTTCTGCTGAGTCACTCTGTCCAGCCACAGTAGGCGTGGTCTGATGTGTGTGTGACACTCGGTCATGACTAACGCTACTGACTCCAGAGTGTCTGGCCCAGTCCAGACCTCCGTGCCCTGAGGTCCTAAATTTGATCAGTGGATTGAATGCTGTTGGTCTTTTTCCATGACTGTAAAGCGCCCGCCACTGATCGTAGCGCTCGTGTTTTGTTTCCCTGCCGCCCCAGGGAGACCCCCTCACAGCCAGCGGCCCCTCTGAGCCCACCTCTGGAGGGGCCTGTCGAGGGGCCAGGCATGTTGGGCTACAGCTGGAGGAAATTAGAGGTAGTGGTGGAGGTGGGGAGGGGGGTATTTTTAGCTCTGGGAATGTTTTGAGTGTCTGGTTACAGCTCTGGACCAGTAGTGTGGATGGATGGGGTTGGAGGTGGCTGTCATGCTCAGTGATGAGATTTGAAATGCTGTGCTGGTTGTTCCTTTCACTGAAGCATGCCATTACCTTCCATGAGTGTCATAACTTCAGATGAACAACTTCGAGTGTTCTCTTTCATGTACAAACATCCTAAACGCTGTATTTCCTATTAAAGCATTGGATTGCATTACACTGTGATTAGCAATCTTAGCAAGAATGGTATTTCCACTGTGACTGATGATGTGTTTTTTGGCATTCTCTTATTGTTTTAGGAAGAGCCTGCCAGTCTATAAAAACATCTCACGCTGTCTCTGAAGAGTTTGATTTTTATTAACTTTCATAACCTAAAATAATATCAGGAGAACAATCCATATACAGGCATTGATTGGCATAGAAATGTGCAAACACAGTAACTGTCAGCTGATGCAAGCTCCGAACAGACAGAAAAAGATGTCCACTTTGTATAGAGTTACAGAGGTGACGAAAATAGTAGATATAAATATAACTTGCTTTCACTTTCTACCAGCTTAGAGTGTTTTGTACCCCTGAATAGTGGGGGGGGAAAAAAAGTTTTTATACATCCTTGAAACAGTCGTTTGGCACTGTATAAGTGTCCAAAAATAACATGCAGAGAAAATGTGTTTGCATTAAGCCTGAAAGTGATTTAAGGCAGTAAATATATTTATAAAACTTCATGATACAGATAGGATTGTTTTGTCAGTGAACAAAAGGTTGCTGATATAATTTATGTCAGGATTGTTGGGAATTTTTTTTTTCATACAAAAATAAAATGGACAATCTGTGATGTGTGTGACAAATACACTGAAACCTTTCACAGCACCCTCTCTCCAGTGAGAACATTTCAATACACCCTTTTCAAATAAACCATCAAAGAAAAAAAAAATCACAAAAATGAACCTCCATCACCAGTTTTCCATTATCTTCCATTTTTGTTATCACTACAGTCACTCAAATCCCTCTATTAAGAATGAACTTATCATATTAAATGTCCATCAGAAAAACCTGCTTGTTTCCATCGCTGTCTCTTCCTGTGTCTGTTAATCCAACCTCCTTAAATTCTGCTGCACCCACAAACAAACAAACAAATCTCATCCATGTGTGAGCGTCCTCTTTCCCAAACCTCATTTCTTCTGCTAAAAAAACCATCCTGTTTGTAAGGCCCGGCCTTTTCCGATAAGCAAATCTATGACAACACTGAGACTGTATGATACTGCAACTGCAAACTGTGCTGCACAAGCCCACATAATAATGATCTCCTTCGTCAAAGCTACAATGCTTTGAATCATTCAGTCTCTTTTTAAGTCTCTCCCGCAGGTCCACTTTTAAACAGTGCTGGTGGAGTGCTACGTACAGATACAGTATTAGTCTGTGTATATTAAATGGCACCACTTGAACATGCATAGTAATTCTAGGTTTCATTTTTAAACCTGTTTTTTTTTCTTTACAGTCATAAGAGGCACTTAAACAGACAATCCTTTGCAAAAACAGAATCAACCGTACAGAAACATAAGAGAGCGTATTTATGAACAGTCTTTCCTCGTGGTAAACACTTCAATCATTGTCCAGGTCCAGTTGATAAAACGAAGCATGGGGAAACAACTCGATGAATTCTGTAGTATAATAGGTTGTGTCATACTATAAAAACATATGAAAACCGTGGTTGCACCGGCTCACTGCCCACCGACCCTTTAGTTCAATGATAGAGTCCCTCAGGTGGACAAGGTTTTGTTCTGCCCCTCGTCGCCGTCATAAAGTATTTGTCTCAGGAGTGCTGGGAACAAGGGCAGCTTTAAGGGTTTTTCTGGGGGGTGAACTCCCTGTGGTCTCTACAGGTCGTCACTTTCCACCAGGCCACCGGGCGGCAGCGGGCTGGAGTCGGGGAAGAAGGCCGCCTTCACGTCCAGCCCTCTCTCTGTCAGTGCGGCGTAGCGGCTGGTGGAGGGACGCACCTTCTTGGGCTTGGGGAGGTTAGGCTGTTGCCACTGAGCTGAGGACGGAGAAGAGGAGGAGGGTTTTTAATGATGTGTTGAGGGGGAAAAAAGCCACACAGGACATGCTCGATTTAATGAGCAGTGCGTGTTTCAGAGTCAGAACTTACCGTGGACATCAAGGCGTGCAGTGCTGGATACAATGCCGGCGTCATTCTTGGCTGACACAGTGTACCAGCCAGCATCTTCTTTCATGGCTGGCTGGATGATCATACACAGGTAGCCACAGTTGTCCTGATGCATGCTGGGAAAGAAAATTGACACAAATTTAAAGGGTAAATTTGGATTTTTCAACCTGAACTCTGTTTTCCCATGTTGAGTGAGTAATGGAAACAACAGTTTTTAAAATTGGTCCAGTATTGAGTGAGACGTCTGTGGCAGCAAAACAGGTTGCAATGTAATCAATCAGGGCAATTGTGCACCTGCAATTTCCATTCATTAAAAGCAATTCTTTTTTTTTCTTCTTTTTTAAGTGTCTGACAACTTACTGAAAGTATTCTTACAGAGATATACCTTTTTGTTGAATAGTAAAATCCTTTTAGTTTATCCTGAAACAGCCCCGAAATCAATATCGCCAAAGCCACCAGACTCCATTTAAATAAACAGTCATTTTATCATCATAAAACTCACTTCATTCAAAGTCGACAGAAACAAGTAAAAACCTCACATAAACCACTTGGTTTGACTTCCCACTGTTCCAACAATCACCAGCTCTGGTTTGGTTGAAATAAACCCTTAATTCACCCAGTTAGATGTGAAAATATGCTGGCTCTGTTCACACTAAAATTGATGGTATTTACATGGAGTTTGGTGGGTTTGGCGATGGCGATTTCAGGGGCGTTTCTGGTTAAACAGAAAAGATCTTACTCTTTAACATCAATGTCTCTCTCTGTAGAGATCCTAAAAGATAATCTGAACTTGCCAGTGGCATAAAGGGAGCACTTTTAGGGGACATAAACTGACAGTGTGATCATGTCCTGAGTGGTTGCAATGCATCCTGTTTTGCTGCTCTCAACTACAGCACTCTTGCTCAATACTGGGCCAGTTTCAAAAATTGTTGCTCTCATCAGTCATTTAG